TTGAAAAAACAACTTTGCACAATGTAGGGTCAATTGGACGAAAATTCGATTTTTGGTCCATTTTTTAACACTTTTAGGGGAAAAAATATTTTTAGAGCAAAAAAAAATTTTTCGGGGTCAGAAACTTGGTTTTGGTGACCCAAGCAATGAGTGCACCAAGTTTGGTCCGAATCCGAGACATCGATTTCGGGGGTCGTGCGATTTGAGAAAGAACTACCCCCCATAAGCCGATACGGCAAAGGCTCAGACGACGACACGAGAACATGGTTCTCGTATAGAAGATTTTTGGCGCATGGTGTTCGGGTGGTCATACCAAGTCCGTATATCCATGTGCCATGTTTTGGCGACGTACGGTTCGGTACTTAGCACCTTAGGCCTCTTAGGCTTTGCCGCCGAAATTGGCCTTTGGCGCGAAGGTGTTAAAAAAAATTAAAAGAAAGTAAGCAATGTGCTGGCCTTAGGTTGATACTTCGGACGGAAGGACCAGGACCAATGAAAACGATGCTTTTTCATCGGTAGTACATTTAACCAAATTCTCCACGAGAGGAGTTACCGCGACGATTTTGCGAGGACACCACGGCTCAACATTGTTACAAGTGTGAACTGAATGGGGAGACTATGGCGAGATGGAGCAAGCGCCTGCGAGCACGGCGGGTAGGCAGCCAGCCACGCAGCGGCGTTTGGCGGGCGTGCCTACCTTCCAGTTCGCAGGCGTTACGGAGGCAGGTCCGTGTTTCGCTGCCTGTGTGTTGGCGCTGGGCTCAGGTGCGCTGCTTCCACATGAGTGCCAGCGCCTCAGAAGGCCTACCTCACACTGGAGCACGCTGCCTTTTCACCGCAGTCCTGTGGAAAGAACAAAGAGGGGCAGTTTTCTGCCCAAAACATGCATTTTTACGGTTTTTGTAGCTGCTGCTAGGGCTGCCCTACACACAAACTTTTTATGACGGAATATTTTAGTTTGATCCTTTATCTTCAAATTCCACCCCCGGGATCGGTCAAAATCGGTGTCCATCACCAAAACCCCAGGGATACAAGAAATGACTGCAAAAATGGGAAAACAGCCATGGTCAAAATTTGAGCAGTCCAATCGGAAAACCGACGCCGGATTCTTGTTCCTCGGCCGATTTTACCAAAAAGAGTCAATATTTAGGCAGCTGGAGCTGACAGGGACCGAGCAATATCGATTTTTACATTTTGACCAAATTCTCCTAAATTTTGTCAGAGAAAACGAAAATCGTGAATAACATCCAAACCATGCGTTTTTCGCCCCCAATATTTTAGGGCTTTTCTAAGACCCATAAGGGGTACCTTCGACCCAAATGGCGATGAAATCGGCGGTGGTCATGTTTTTCGATCGGACTTCTTAAAAAAAGTGCCTCATAATAACATTAAAAATAACTATGAAAATCTTTTATTAATGGTTTGTACTTTGAAGTACAGCTTCCTGCAGAATCAGCCGACAGTCCACTGTAAGGAACCACCTTCTATACGATAACCATGTTCTCATGTCGTCGTCTGAGCCTTTGCCGTATCGGCTTATGGGACGTCATCGTAGGAGAACCCTGTTCTCGTAGCGTGTTTAAATATAATTTGTGATTTGTGCCGAAATATTGACAATTCAATCAATGTAAATCGATTTGAAATTCAAAGTTCGGTTCACACAAGAATCATTTTCTTGTTCAGGCGACACCACAAAAAGTACGAGAACCATGTTTGCGGTCCGGCGGGCACGCCATGTCTCCACGGACAATACTAGAACATGGTTCTCCTGCGTATTTACGGCATTTTACTGTCCAAGCTTCCTACACTGCAAATCCAAGTGTAGTACAGGTCGACACTTTAAGGCGCAGACCAGTTCGTCCTACGCTTGCAAGTGTCGACCAGTTGTGTCCGACGCTTTGAAGTGTCGACCACACAGTGTCCGACGCCTGCAAGTGTCGACCACACAGTGTCCAACGCCTGCAAGTGTCGACCATACAGTGTCCAACGCCTGCAAGTGTCGACCACACAGTGTCCGACGGCTGAAGTGTTGGGCCACAACAAGAAACTCAGTCAGTGTAATTTGCCGTAGGACAAACAGTGTCCTACACATGCAGGCGTCGGCCACAGTGTGGTCGACACATCAGAGCGTCGGATACAGCTGGTCGACACTTGCCAGCCTAGGACAAACTGGTCTACGCCTTAAAGTGTCGACCTGTCCTTCCCTTGGATTTGCAGCGTAGGGTTTCCTTTTGACTCATTAGAGTCCTAGGGCACAGTTAGTGCAACTCCTTGAATGACAAGGACGGTTGTTTCAAAACAAGGAAAGATGGAACACTTCACGGAAGTTCCTCGGAAGTGTGCTCCCATTTCAAGGAGAGGGAGGCTCCCTTGCTTTCCAAGGCTAGTCCCTTGTTTCCAAAGTCCGAATTCTCCACGAGAGGAGTTACCGCGACGATTTTGCGAGGACACCACGGCTCAACATTGTTACAAGTGTGAACTGAATGGGGAGACCATGGCGAGATGGAGCAAGCGCCTGCGAGCACGGCGGGTAGGCAGCCAGCCACGCAGCGGCGTTTGGCGGGCGTGCCTACCTTCCAGTTCGCAGGCGTTACGGAGGCAGGTCCGTGTTTCGCTGCCTGAGTGTTGGCGCTGGGCTAAGGTGCGCTGCTTCCATATGAGTGCCAGCGCCTCAGAAGGCCTCCCTCACACTGGAGCACGCTGCCTTTCCACCGCAGTCCTGTGGAAAGAACAAAGAGGGGCAGTTTTCTGCCCAAAACATGCATTTTTACGGTTTTTGTAGCTGCTGCTAAGGCTGCTCTATACACAAACTTTTTATGACGGAATATTTTAGTTTGATCCTTTATCTTCAAATTCCACCCCCGGGATCGGTCAAAATCGATGTCCATCACCAAAACCCCAGGGATACAAGAAATGACTGCAAAAATGGGAAAACAGCCATGGTCAAAATTTGAGCAGTCCAATCGGAAAACCGACGCCGGATTCTTGTTCCTCGGCCGATTTTACATGAGAGAGTCAATTTTTAGGCAGCTGGAGCCGACAGGGACCGAGCAATATCGATTTTTACATTTTGACCAAATTCTCCTAAATTTTGTCAGAGAAAACGAAAATCGTGAATAACATCCAAACCATGTGTTTTGCGCCCCCAATATTTTAGGGCTTTTCTAAGACCCATAAGGGGTACCTTCGACCCAAATGGCGATAAAATCGGCGGTGGTCATGTTTTTCGGTCGGACATCTTAAAAAAGTGCCTCTTTGAAACGTGCAGTTTGATTCTAAATATTATAGGTAGAACTGTGTTAAATTATTTTTTGTCAGCGGGATGACCAATCTTTCTAAAACCACTATCGTGATGGTTCAGTGTAGTTTCAGTTCGGAGATATAACGGGTGTTCTTTTCTGACCCAAGCCTCGAGTGTACTTTTCTTACCCAACCTACCCCTAGTGGAACAAAAAATAGTTATGTTTTTATTACAATTTAATATCACATAAAAAGATTAGTATTTGGTAATTTCAGTCAAGAAGCTAGCTGGCGGGTGTGCAGCGCGCGATTCAAACGGGAGGGGAAAGGGACCGAAGATTCGAAGGCAAATCACCCTCGATTCGGATTTTTCGAAGAGTTCGGATTTTAAGCAATTTTCCCGGGAGCGAATCGAATCAGAGCTGATTCGATTCGATTCCGAACCTTTCGCATATCTCTACTCCCCCCCCCCTTTAGTGAAACATACTTCCGGCGTCCGTTTCCTTCTCTGTTGAGGAAAGAGAGGACCTATGCAGTAAAGATATCGTTCATAACGGTACCACTTAAGTTACGCTCTGGCTTGACTAGATTATTCTTGTCGCCAGCGAGAGAAGGACGCATTAAATTCCTTCGTATAATTTCTGTACCTGGCCTCACATTACCATACGCACACGTTCTTTTTGTTCCAATTTGTACGCAATTTCGTTCGAATTTGTGTGATTCGGCGGACGAATAGGGTATTCTGGAGAAGAGCTGGATCGGAAGTGGAGAAGAAATCAAGAAGAACAAACTCAGGACCTGTATGAGAATATAACTCTGCGGAAGCGGCAGAACGGCGACGCAGACGCACATTCTCACAAATTTAGCATACTCTCTTCTTGATTTCTTCTCAACTTCCGTTCCAGCTCTTTTACGAAGTACCCTATTTGAACGAAAAAGGTTCGCATGGTTAGACACTTCTACCGCGTACATTGTGCACATACTTAGAGCGAACGATTCCAGTCTCATAACCGAAAATGGTTTCAGTAACCTAACTATGCACTGGTAAAACCAAAGCGTAGCATTACCGTGGTGTTTTCAAGCGTAATCAGTTAACGCTTGAAATCAAGCGTAACAGACGCTTGAAGTCAAGCGGAACATAGGCTCATCCGCCAAGATTCCCACTATCGGAATGCGTGGGGGAATTTACAGAGTATGCTGCGTTTCAAGCGTAACGTCTTCAAGCGTAACTTAATGCTTGACTGAAGCATATAGTTACGCTTAAGTTTTACCAGTGTGCACCCCCTTCCTCACAAGTGCATTTGTTGAAATGTTCTCGGGATTCGGCACTGCTCCTAAAGAAGTGGGGCATCTCATTCAGTACCTACCTGAACCGGAAGTCAATCTTTTGGTCGCTTGCCCGGTTCAACGGAGACATGATGGCCAACATGACTCTTTCACAGTGGCCAAACAAGTATTTCACATAAGATACCGTATATTAGTGAATTTCGGAACCGGGAGTCAAAGAGCAAAATTTCAAATTCAAACAGCTCCTACGCAAACGCTGACGCTGAGTGGTCACCTCTGCGCATGCTCTAAAACTGTTATGGTTTTCACTTTTGATTTTGACTTCCGGTTCCGAGATCCGTCATGAAATACTTTTTGACCAATGTGAAAGAATCATGTTTGTCATCATGATGGTCATGTCTCCCTTGAACCGGGCAAGCTACCAACAGATAGACAAATAAGTTAAATAATCACTTGTATTTGCCTTGTTCTAGACGATTCTACACCGCTGCAGGCTTCTGATCACCGCACGGTCCCCCTGCCACCATACCACAGACCAGACTCTCAGAGTAAGTGCGCCAAAGGGAAGCTAAAGGTTTTACCACGAATGGGGCATTTTATTTTGAACGAGTTTTATCTTTTGGTACGAGCGTAACCCTACCATTTCGATAAGGATCTGAGCTTCTTAAGTTTAAAGAGTCCCCTTGTGAAACAAAGGCATTAAAATTATGCCCTTTAAGGGCGTAAACGATCTACGCTCTTATAGGCCATATATCGTTAATGCCTTTGGGAAGGGCATTAAAATTTTTCTTGAAATTCCTATACCAGTCACGTCCTTTCCAAGGGCATATAACGTCTTATGCCCTTCAAAGGGCTTATACGAGTATTTATGCCCTGAAGGGCTTAATTTTTACGCCTTTGTTTTGCCAGTGTCGGATGGTTGACAAACGAACGCCATTTGACAAACCGGATCAAAGACTGGACGATAGGTCACTTTTAATGTCCTTCCGGAATGGCATTGAACTGCAAGGGGTGGTCTATTTTTTACGTTGCGCAATCTTGGACACCTTGGGCACGTTCTGTTTTGCCTCGCCTTTTCTCTTAGTTTTCCGACTGAACGTGGCGTCACATCCCTGGATTACTACTACATCCTAAGTAGGTCTCATGAACAACCTGATTCCTGTTTCAGCTGCTTTCGTGTTCTGCCTGCTGTCCATCTTGAAGGAACGCAAGGCGGCCGCATTGGATATTTCTTAACTGATCTCCAAATTTTCATCATGGCCCACCCGGAAGAAATGTCTTTCAGATGCACAGTCTGCAATTCGTGCTTCAGCCGCAGGAGTAGTCTCTTGACTCACCTCGAAACGCACATTGAAGAGATGCAATCGGAGAACAAGGAGATCGGTAACAATCAGAATCTCAAGACACATCTTGAATCAGGCGACAGGAGCAACTTATTCCAATGCAAGGGTTGTAAAATGGCGTTCAGTACAGGACGTGGACTTGCAAGCCATCGTAAGTCCCATACTGAGGATAAGCTTTCCGGGTGTACTATTTGCAACAAGATGTTCAAAAAACGTTATCTGACCGCTCATCTTCGAACCCACACAGGTGAGAAGCCTTACGAATGCTCAGTTTGTAACAGGTCATTTAGACACGATTCTAATTTGAGGAGTCATCTTGCAACCCATAAAGATGAAAAGCCGTTTGAGTGCGCGGTTTGCAATAAGAAGTTGCGTACTAGTTTCTCTCTCAGACTTCATTTAAGGACTCACACTGGGGTAATGCCTTACGAGTGCACAGTCTGCAAGAGGAGCTTCAGGCAACGTCCTCATCTTGTTATGCATCTCAGAATTCATACAGGGGAGAGGCCCTACGGGTGCACGTTTTGCAACAAGAAGTTTAGTGATAAACGGAATGTCGAAGTTCATGAAAGAATTCACACGGGTGAAAAGCCCTACGAGTGCTCAGTTTGCCACAAGAAATTTAATCAGCATCCTCATCTCACAGCGCACCTTAGGTACCATAGCGGGGAGAAGCCCTTTGAATGTTTGGTTTGCCACAAGAAGTTTGGTCAGGTTGGCGAATTTAGACTCCACATTAGGATCCATACTGGCGAGAAACCTTACGAGTGCACAATCTGCAACAAGAAATGCAGTCAAAGTAGCAGTCTCAGAGTTCACCTTCGAACGCACGCGAAGAAAGTCTAAAACGCCATCTTGGAACTCACGTATGAAAGAAGACCCTGGAGTGCGTAGTTCGCAATGTGATGATGTGTCCTGGCAAAGTCTGTCTAAGAAGCGATTCAGAAGTTATCGTAACAGCGGAGAGGATGAGTCATGACTCGATATAACAGGAACGGACGCTTGTTGTGGTTTGTTTGATTATTGGTGCAATTTTAGACATGTCAGACACTTCTATAACTAAACTAAATCATGTCGAGACAAAGTTTTGGTAGCAAAACTTATAGAATTGATACCTTCGGGGAGTTTTGCTTACGGCTTGGATACTGTTAAACTGACATTGATGTTTTCTGGATACACAACAAACCTAACTGTGTACTAAGTACACACTTACAAACGCATGCTTGGTCAAGTACACACTTACAAATGCATGCTTGCAAGTACACACTAACAAACGCATGCTTGACGCATGGAGTTATACGGCGCCGAGCATGCGTTTGTAAGTGTGTACTTGCAAGCATGCATTTGTAAGTGTGTACTTGGCCAAGCATGCGTTTGTAAATATGTGCTTGCAAGCATGCATTTGTGTGTACTTAGTAGACAGGTTTGCAGTGTATGTAAACCAAAAGAATTGCTTTAGACGTATGGTTGTTTGAGAAAATTCTTTTTATTTACTGTTTGAGTTCGAAATAAATTGACCTTTTGTGATTAGTTTCATTATAGGTGCAGTTTTAGATGTACGATAAGCCACTTCAGTAATTCAAAAAAATTCGTTTTAAGACAAGATTTGCGTTGCTAAACCAATCGCTACCTTGGCTTCCTTTGTTTGACCTTTGTTTGTGTGACTCAAATACTGTTAAACTGGAACTAACATTTCCTTGATTAAAGTAAAGTAAATCTTTATTTCAGCTATAGCTGTAGTCACAATACCATTAGTTGGCTTTGATTATACTTAATTATGAAAACCTTTTATGTAGGCTTTATATAAGGGGAAAAGTTATGTACATTTAAATACATTTTTATGTATGAATATCTAAGTATCGAGAGCCATTGGCTTTTTGAGAGGATCGCCGTCTTTTCTTTATACATCATTTCATTTGTGTAGCAATAAATAACTGTGCTACTTGAATTGACGTTTTTTTATAACAATACCTGCAGTTTGTTGTACGCTGATACTTTATTTTAGTGTCCACCTTCGGCACACTGCGGCAAAAAGCTTCGGAAAATTCTGTTAACAGCTTGTGGTAATTCTCCGTAGCCCCTTGTCAATATTCTCTGTAGGCTCTTACAGTATTTTCTGTAGGACCGCACAGTATTCTCCGTGGGACCTTACAGTGTCCTCCGTAGGACTGTAGAGTCTTCCAGTCCCTACGGAGAAGACTGTGCGGTCCTACGGAGAATATTGATAAGAGGGCTACGGAGAATCCTGGCAAAAAAATTAACTGAATTTTCCGTACCTTTTTGCCACAGTGCTTGGTCAATTTTATGGGTATCGTGCCCAGGTGCCGAGCTGCGTCGGTCTCCGTTTTTCGAGTCGATCACGCCAGTAGGCGATCAGGCAATGTCGGGCCTGGTTATGGTCTATCATCAGTCTCTCTTCCAAGTTTGAAATTTTTTGGCCAAGCCGTTTACGAGAAATCTCGATTTTCATCTCGATCTGCATCGGCTCCTCGCGCGGAGGCACGGCCAAGAGTTTTGGTCGCCTCCACCTGTATTCTGGTCTGGCTACACTGCGGCGGCTGCTGAAGGTGTCGGCTACCTGGCCACACTGAAGCGGTGCGAGACGATTGGACGAGATTTCGCACAGACAATCTTGAGACCCGTCATTCTGGTGTGAACTAGGATAATTGCGATCAATTTTGTTCACCTATATTTGAACTCAAGTTTTTTGGAAGAAAATGGGCTAGAAAATGCTGTTTTCAGAATTTGTCATTTTGCCGTGTTGTTTGAGGTACTAATAATTATTCCAAAAATTTTTCCCTAGTTCACACCAGAATGACATGTATTTAGATGGTCCACACCAAATTTGGACCATTTAGGTCCGACCGTTTGGTCCAAATCGCGCAAACCAACGACCTGTGTATTTTATGCAGTGGTTAAGCGAAATTCGACGAACTCGCTCGCAATAGCTGCTCAAGACACCTATCAAAATTTGTGATTTTGATCGTAAGTTACAGTATGAAAAGATCCCATGATCAGTTTCTACGTCCTGTATGTCATACGTCCACAGGAGTTTTTGCCAAACACAGTATTTTTTGACCTTGCGTAGTGTACTACCCCCTTAATACATGCCTAAACTGACTAAATTTTTGGTATCTCTCCCCCGTCATTCACGAATCGTGGAATCGCGAAAGATTTCCTATCTTTCTGTTTTGCCCTGCCATGGCTCTCAGTTGTCTTATGAACGTGGCGTCTTATTCCTACTTGTGTACATCCCAAGTGATAACATGAGCAACCTGATGTCTTTTTCAGTTGCCTTCGCGGTCTGCATGCTGTCCATCTTCAAGGAACACAAGCCCGCTGCATTGGAAATTTGTTAACCGATGTCCCACGTCATGGCCCGTCCGGAAGAAACGTCCTTCAGATGCACCGTTTGCAATTCGTATTTCAGTCGAAGAAGCAGTCTCTTGACCCACCTCGAAATTGGAGAGATGCAGTCGGAGTGCACGGTTTGCGACCGAACGTCCAATTCAAGAAGTGCCCTCGCTACCGACTTCAGTACACATTCAGCTATAGCTTCCGTTTGCTCAGTTTGTAACAAGGAGATCGGTAACGAACAGAATCTGAAGACGCATCTTGAAACATGCAACAGGAGCAAGCTATTCCACTTCAAGGATTGTGAAATGGCGTTCAGTACAGGACGTGGACTTGCAAACCATCGTAAGTTCCATACTGAGGATAAGCTTTCCGAGTGTACTATTTGCAACAAGAAGTTCGGCAAAGCTTATCTGGCCACTCATCTTCGAACCCACACACACACAGGTAAGAAGCCTTACAAATGCTCAATTTGTAGCAGGGCATTTTCACTCAAATCTGGTCTGGGCGTTCATCTCGCAACCCATCAAAAGAATAAGCCATTTGAGTGCACGGTTTGCAATAAGAAGTTACTTGGTAGGTTCTCTCTCATAGTTCATCTAAGGACTCACACTGGGGTAATGCCTTACGCACAGTCTGCAAGAGGAGCTTCAGACAACGTCCTCATCTTGTTACGCACCTCAGAATTCATACAGGGGAGAGGCCCTACGGGTGCACGTGTTGCGACAAGAAGTTTGGTGATAAACGGAATGTCGAGATTCATGAAAGAATTCACACGGGTGAAAGGCCCTACGAGTGCTCAGTTTGCCACAAGAAATTTAATCAGCATCCTCATCTTACAAGGCACCTTAGGTTCCATAGAGGGGAAAAGCCCTTTGAATGTTTGGTTTGCCACAAGAAGTTTCGTGAGGTGAAAGAATTTAAAGTTCACATGAGGAACCATACTGGCGAGAAACCTTACAAGTGCACAGTCTGCAACATTAAATTTACTCACAGTGGCAGTGTCAAAGATCACCTTCGAAAGCACACACAAGAGGGGCACTTTCAGTGCACTGTTTGCAACATAAAATTTAGGCTCGAAACCAGTCATAGACGCCATCTCCGAGCTCACTAATGAAAGAAACCTATGGTTGTACGTATGAGTAATTTCTCTTTCCTCATCTTTCGAGTTTGAAAGATTCTGAACTTTTTTGTGGTTTGTTGCGTTATATGTGCAATTTCAGACATACTGTGAGCCACTTCTGTAATTTAAAGAACTTGTTTCAGGGCAAGATTTACGTGACGAAACTAATCCTTGTATGGCTTCATTGACCTTTGTTTATAAAACTCAAATGCTGTTGGACTTTAACTGACATTTTCTTGATTACAATCCCATCAGTTGATTTTAATTATACTGAATTATAAAAACCTTTTATGTAGGCTTTATTGAAAGGCAAAAGCTATGTATATTCTTTAATAAATTGTATGTATTAAAATCGAAGTATGAAGAGCCGTTGGCTTTTTGACAGTATCGTCGTCTCTTCTTTATACATCATTTGTTTAGCAATAAATTGCTGTGCTACTGGAATGGATGTTATTTTTATTACAATATCAGCTGTTGTATGATAATACATATTTTCAGTAATACAAATGATTTATGACGGTCGTTGTCTTTCAGGAACAACAGTTTTTTTTTTTTTTTTTTTAAATTGTGGTATGGAAAGCACCTTGTGCTCTCAGAGTGTCGCCAGTGCCGACTTTCGGCATGGCGGAATTTTAGTTTTTGAGTTGTGGCCACTCTGCACCGAGGCTAGCTGGAGACTCGAATTAGCAGAAGTGAGAGGAAGGCAAACAAGAAGCATTTACACTAATGCCCGAGCAGCGCAAGGGTGCAGCTGGCGCATGCCGGCACTGCCAGAACTTGGATCGAGATAAGGCCAAACGCTTTTCATGAAACGGGTTGCTCGTACAGGAAGCAATCAGTCAGCCAGGGGGCTGGCGGCTGATGCCGAGCAGTCATTTCGTCGGTGTCTGTCTCTCTCGCACTCGTGTGGCGCCACGCAGGGGTGCGAGAGAGACTCGGCGACGACATGCCTGTTCGTAATCAGTTTGCTGCCCATGGCTTACACAGTGCAGAGCTCAACTAGACGATGGTTCGCCGATGGACACGCAGTGCTGACTGCTCGCTCCTTCATCCATTGGGCTCACCCAACTGATAATAATTTCCAAAACTGATTATTTTCAGTCCGTTTTGAACAAATTTTGTTCGTAAGATGTTCGCATGAGCATTGGAAATTTTCACAAGTACGATCGCACAAATTGAAAGGCAGTGACAAAACTGCAAAGAAAAAGAGCATCTTAAATAAAGTTTCGGATACCCTTCTCCTCAATTTGTCCATAATACTGAAAACGCGTGCCTTCTGCCTGTTCACGCGGTGAAAGAAATCGGTGAGCATTAGACACGGGATGCGCAGCCAAATTGCACTCCCAGGATAAAAACGCCTAACTTCCTGCCTTGGTTTTTTTTTACCGACGCGGCAGGAGGGGGCCCTACGCAGCCTTCCAAACAATCATAACGCACTTACGACCAGGCAAATGCTCTGCGCGGAGTGACGGCCTAAGCGTTAAAGCCGTGAATTAAGTGAGGCCAGTTCGGGGCAAAAGGAGGGGGGAGTAACTCTCAGCGGCGTGGGGCGCGATCGGCCGCGGCCACTGAAATGGGCGCTTGAAGCCACGGGGAGGAACAAGGGGTGGAGAGGGAGGAGGGTTGGGGCAGTAGGTCACGCCGTCGGCAGTGCGAGGGCCATTAATCCTTTCATAGGCCTCGACTCGAAGCAAGTCCTCAACAAGAGTCTCCAACCGACTTTCCGCGTTTGATCTCTATCTAGCACGTCATGCACGATTACTTGACCCTCATTTCTCTGACCCGCAGCGGAATTTCACTCCGATGTGAAACTGCGCTTTGGCAGCCCTCCTTGTTGCATCATAATTGGCGGGGACTGGGTTATGTCATTCTACACTCTCATTCCAGGAACGTGACACCACGTTGAAACGAACGAGACAAAGAGTCACGAGCATTGTGTCACATTCATTTGGATGTGAATCAGCCAAAAATTAGCTTGTTCACATTCAAACGAATGTGACACAATGCTCAAACGAACGTGACATTTTGTCACGTTCGTTTCAACGTGGTGTCACTTGGAATGAGAGTGCAGTACGAGAAGCCTTTGCTGCAGTGCTTCCTGCCGTCCTGTCTGAATGAGGACGAAAACCGTCTCCTTCAGGCAGTATGGCTGCACTTGTGGCACAGGAGCTGTGGCTTCTCTTTTCGGTGCAGCTCACTCCCTTGAATCGAAATGTATTTGAAATATACACAGCTGAAACGGTTCCTGGTTTTGTCAGGTAGCCTTTGGTAAAGACGCGGAAGTGATTTTCAGGGAGCTCGCGGCTCCTGGGAAAACAAGGAATCGTTTGTGCCGTGATCTACTCAAAGAAGAAGGAATTAACGACAAAGACAAGAATCAGCAGGAATGCGATTAAAAACCAGTCAAATCGCTACTTATTGTTTTTCTTTTTTCTCAAAACATGCCGTTGGCATTCACCAGCGTACAAATTTTGTACGAGGCATCACCGTTTTTTGTGCACAGGAACTTTTCGTACGAATTGGCACGCGATTTAGCACAAAAATGGGGAAAGATGTGCATATTTTCGTACAAAATTTGAGCGAAAAATTCGTGGGCATAAAAACTTGTGATGTCTCGTACAATATTATACGTAACATTTAGTGTGCAGCCCTCCGGTCGAGTACCACCTCCAGACTCTTACGATGAAGCGGTCATTGTAACGTTCGAGGACTCACTGGACAGAGTGCAGTAGATAGACAGGTACGAGGCGACGAGCCCCAGCAGCGGGATCACGAACATGGTGATGAAGTTGATGATGTTGTAGAGGCGCTCCGACTCGGTGGACACGTCGTAGGTGACGCACTGGTAGTAGGGCTCGTAGAACGGGCCCTCCTTGACGCTGAACATGAGCAGCTGCAACAAAGGAGACAAAAAGAAAGTTTCAATCAGTTGCTGTCAACTTTGTTTTTCCAGCGATCGGGCCTACGATGCATCGCGCACCGCACTCCACACAACAGCAGCAGCCTAGATTCCGCGAGTCGTTTTCGTCGCTCTGTCTCTCTCGCAACTGTACGGGGTGCTCATGAGTGCGAGAGAGACAGAGCGACAGGAAGGCCTCTCCTCAAAATCAGGCTGCAGCGTCATTAAAATCGTGCCACCGCTCGCCGAGCCTCTCACACGCGCTGCAGCAGGGAAATATGAATTGGGTGCAATTAGTAGTCTCCCACGTGCCGTACGGGTAAGCAACGGCAACTTGGAATGTGGCAGAGTCCTCCGCGAAATGTTTCGTACCAAGTTTAGAAAGATAGCGTGCTGATCTCCGTACGCCTTCATGACCAATTACTAAACTCTTCTCACATATTCTCAGCTGAAGCACAGATAATTAGTCTAGAGATATTACACTGCAAATCTAAGTCTGGGAGAACATGCACTGGATAATGTTGGACTGTTCCTTTTTTAGCGTGGGACGTGTTCTACGTTTGTTGGCACGGGGAAAACCGTTACATTTCTTGATTTGCTGAAAATAATCCCACAGCATACGGCATCCATCCCCCAGTACCCCCAGGGGACAATTCTAGCGAGTGACATATCTACCATCTACCATGTATCGGGCTTTCTTTGTGACATTTACAGCTTCGAGATTAGGGTTGGTTCGGCGAGACCATTTTAAATACGGCCTTGTATGATAGTAGGCCTTGCTGTTTTTCTGGTCGCTATTCGCGGTGACCAGGCCTGTTGAGCGCTATTGAGCCCCTGCCCCAGCCCACAGTGGGCCAGAAGCGACCGGTGGAGACGGCGGTCAAAATCCCGGACGAGTTTTGAGCTCCAGAGTCGCCAAATGGGAATCGAACGGAACTTGTGACCCCACCAATGGATTGCTCCAGGGGGTGGAAACTCCTATGGCGCGGCTGAAGCCAAGCTCGGCGCGCCGCGCTACGCCACGCCACTGCCCAGCCGGCCGGACGGCGGGCGGAGACGGTCTGCCGCCGCGTCTTTTATTGCTCAAAATCATTTAAAAAAATTGAATGTTATGGATGCCATGATTTTTAAACAAGGATTAAGACCCGGAATCGCCCTGTCACATTCATTTTCCCCAAAAACTTCCGTCATTTCGTACAGTTTGTCGAGAAAACTTGCGGCGGAGCACGAAAATCCAGACTGCAGTTCATATTTTTTTTTTATCGGGTATTTTGGTTGCTCTGACACGTATAGTGTAAGCGAGTCAAAGTTCCTTGTACTTTCCTCTATCCAATGCGATACGCGGGTGTTGAAAAAGACGATCCGCAAAGAAATGCCCTCATAAAAGAGGGCGACGGCGAAATGACAGTTTTCGGCAACTTCATTTCCCGCTTGGATTATAATTTCATCTTTGAGGTTATCGAATAAAGACCCCCTATGCCATGTCAAATTTTATGTAGATTCCAAATCTGTCCTCGGATTTGAAATCCTTTGAAGGATTGCTGAAATCGAAACGGATTAATTTGACTTGTAGAGGTTATGTGCGTGAGCTCTACGGCTAACCTCTACAAGTCAAACTTAATCCGTTTCGATTTCAGCAATCCTTCAACGGATTTCAAATCCGAGGACAGATTTGGAACTACATAAATTTGACATGGCTAGGAGGCGTCTTTATTCGATAACCTCAAAGATGAATTATAATCCAAGCGGGAAATGAATGTTGCCGAAAACTGTCATTTCGCCGTCGCATCTTTTATGACGGTGCATTTCTTTGCGGATCGTCTTTTTCAACATCCGCGTATCGCATTGGATAGAGGAAAGTACAAGGAAACTTTGACTCGCTTACACTATACGTGTCAGAGCAACCAAAATACCCGATAAAAAATAAAATATGAACTGCAGTCTGGATTTTCGTGCTCCGCCGCAAGTTTTCTCGACAAACTGTACGAAATGACGGAAGTTTTGAGCAAAATGAATGTGACAGGGCGATTCCTTGGGTCTTAATCCATTGTTTAAAAATCATGGCATCTCATAACATTCAATTTTTAAGTGATTTCTGAGCAATAAAAGACGCGGCGGCAGACCCTCTCCGCCCGCCGGCCGGCCGGCTGGGCAGTGGCGTGGCGTAGCGCGGCGCGCCGAGCTTGGCTTCAGCCGCGCCATAGGAGTTTCCACCCCCTGATTGCTCTCCGGACGAGGAACCCGTTGGTGGGGTCACACGCTCGGCTCGAGTCCTGTTTAGCGACTCTGGAGCTCAAAACGCGTCCAGAGTTTAGACCGCCGGCGCCGGCCTACGGCCCACTGTGCCGCGCCCACCACTTGCATGCACTGGCGACACCACTTTGAGCATCATAAGTCACAGGAGGTGGCCGGCAGGGCTATGGTCGTGCCGACGCAGGCACGGCGCGCGGTTGCTCCCCAAGAGCGCTTTCTTCGCTCTGTCTCTCTCGCACTCATGGGGCGTTCCGTGTGGGTCCGAGAGAGACAGAGCGACGGAGCACCGTTCTGAAGCAGCCCGCCGGCCGCACACGCCAGTTTGTCTTTGTTACGGCGGCAGGCGCGTTCGGTCCGGTCTCCGGAGTCCGTGGGGCTCCGGGCGCACCGAGGTTGCGTGTGCGAAGTGGGGGCGCGGCGCGCGCGGCGTGGGGTCACTCACGCAGTTCCAAAACGTAAACAGATCGGAGATTGCAGCCTCTTAATTGGTTATTTCAGCCACGACGTCACCAAACGTTTAATTTCAATATTTAAATAAGCTCACCCCCGAAAGTATAAAAACGACGTCCTTGTGACTTGGAAAACAAATAATTAAGAGAACCCATCCTGTAATAGAATGTCGCTCCAAGGGCGCTCTTTTGCAAAAGAAAAAATATGTTTGAAGCTAGTATTGCCCTTTATTTCACCGCTATGACGGCATCGCACGGATGGATAAGCTTCGCTGTTTGGGGTCAATTCCAGAGCTGTTTAATATGAATTTCGTTACGGTGTCCATCAGGTTTATCGCGACTTCGCGACAGCTGCTGGGGCACGCAAGCGCCAGTCCCGTGTACATTCAATGATAACGTCTAATTACAATTGAAATCTTTCGTCACAATACCTTCCAGTATTATTTTAATCTCGATTCGATGTCCGACTCTAGGTATTTGGCAACTCTAAATGTCTTACAATGAAATTTGACCCATATTATTCGTATGTTACAGTGAATTCGGCGCAAGCATACTACGAAGCAATATACCTTCGTAATACGAATCTTTTTAGCCATTTCATTGTAAGATTCAAAGAAAAGCCTTCGTAATACGAAGAAAAACCACCTTCGTATTATGCTTGCGCCATTTCCTTCGTATTATGGGAAATTTCTTCGTAAGACTTTTTGAGTGTGATTTTTTTTCATTCGGTGAAAGTAATTTTGATTAATTAAATTTGATAGGCTGAGCGCACGTTTTAACGTGGAAGGGTTGCCTGCGTGGGTGCGTATATCTCCAGCCGTGCCTTTTCTGCTCGCGATCACACACACACAACACACACACTCAAAGAGGCAATAAATAGTAAAACGGAATAAATAACTTGCTAAGCGGCCGCTCGAATTCAGCCAGGCCTGCTCCGCACGGGCTACACAGGCTGCTCCATTTTCGGAACGTTCTTCGGCCCACGCGTGTCCCGCATGCATTACAGAACTAGTTTCACGTCAAGTTCGGCGCGTGGGACCGGAAATGTCAGTGAAATTGTTGCGTTTCGAGTGCGGCTAATTGTCAATACCAATCCGAAGTGCACCTGCCGCTCATGGGTCGCACAGTGGGCCAGAAGACCGGCGGTACGGCAATAGATCCACCCCCCCGGTAAAAGAACCGGGGGGTGACTTTACCGCGGGATATAACCACCGCCCTTGGCTGACTCCTGAGAAGGGGTGGTTTTATACCGAGGTAAAGTCACCCCCCTGCTGGTCCTGGGGAGTGGTTCTATCCCGTGGTAGAACCACCCCCCTAGCTGGCTCAGGGGGGTGCATCTATCACGGGATAAAACCACCCCCCAAAGACGGGGAGTTACTTTATCACGGGATGAAACCACCCCCAAATTTGCATATTTGACGGGTTTTAACAGCACTTCTCACCACACGGTAAAACGAAAGCCTCACACTTAATTACTATGTAGTTTTTTCTGCGCGCCAATGCACGAAATTAAACATGCACTTCGTAACGCACGAATTTGTGCGCGACAAGAAACGATTTCGTGCGTGAGTATGCAGAAAATCGTGTATTGTCGCGCACAAATTCGTGCGTTACGAAGTGCATGTTTAATTTCTTACATCGGCGCGCAGAAAAACCTTCATGGTAGTAATTTGGTGTGTAGAATGCAAACCAAAAAATCGCGAAGGTGTTTGCAATACAAAGCTGGTGAATATTACGTTTCCAAAGCACTTTCGTTTGCAAGCTTTCAAGTATGCGCCCCGATTTTGGGTGTACAATCTTCTGGAGACGGAAAAAAGCGTAAAGATGACCGGGACGCTCTCCCGTAAAATATGCGAAATATGGGGGGTTGTTTCATCACGAGATGAAATGACCCACCATTTTCAGGGGGGTGCTTTAATCACGGGATGAAACCACCCCCCGGTGGTTCTATCCCGTGATAAATGCACCCCTGAGCCAGCTAGGGGGGTGGTTCTACCACGGGATAAAACCACCCCCTACACGGATCAGGGGGGTGACTTCACCACGGGTTGAAACCACCCCTCTCAGGAATCAGCCTGGGGGGGTGGTTTTATCCCGTGGTAAAGTCACCCCCGGTGCTTTTTCCAGGGTGGGTGGATCTATAACCTCACACCGGCAAAAACTCCGGACGCGTTTTGAGCTCCAGAGTCGCTAAACAGGACTCGAAGCGAGCGAGTGACCCCATCAATGGAATCCTCGTTCGGAGCGCAATCCATCGGTGGGGTCACACGTTCGGTTCGAGTCCCATTTAGCGACTCGAGAGCTCAAAACTCGTCCGGGATTTGGACCGCCCTCCGCGGTCTTCTGGCCCACTGTGGGTCGGACAGTCACCCCACACTGTCACGGCGCCCCGCGGTCTGAAGGACCAAGGGCATCGCTCCCGCCCTCAGCGGCCAGAGTGAGGTAAAACTCGGTGTACTTGACCATCTTCTCGGGATGAGTCGGGCTTGCTGGGAAGCACCACTTACTCTGTCTCCTCAAAGTATCCCGTTTCCCCCGCCCTCTCAGGGGCTACATATTTATGCCCGCGAGGGCGGGCACTCACTCCCCACGGACCGGCCGCTGCAGGAACCGGCGAGCGAAAGATGCCTGGCGGGAGCAACTCTCAGCAGCAGTGGAAAAGGGCGTTTTAAAGGCATCACATTCAGTTTAAACGCGATTTTAACGCGAAACGCGAAAGCTACCGTAAGCCGGGGTAATATAAGACAATTTCGGGGTAATATGAGACGGAGTTTGGTTCGCGTAAGATTCACTCTAAGCCCGCTATTCGGCCACAAAGAGAGCCACTGCTGTAAAAATTAATTACACTACACGGTACCATTTTTCACCGTGAAGTTTGACAGTGATGAGTCATGAAATGCCACGAGCATTATAATTCTAACGATAAAAATCATGCGTCTCATATTACCCCGGCTTACGGTACTTTTCTTCGACTTTTTCCCTTCTAAATTCTTATTAAAAACACCTGACCTGAACAACCAAGTGATTCCTAAAATACATGTTTGAGACGGAAGAATTTTTCACTGTTAAAAAGTGAAGGAATTATTGAACACTTTCAAATGGACAATGACTCAAATCGATGAGAATTAAAATCTGATTTGCTTTCCCCGTGGTCGGACTTGGAAGCGGAAAATGCTGAGCGGGTGCGGCTTAAGGCTTGGCCATTCTCGCTTACTTCGAAGTGAATTCTATTCTATTAACTTTTCGGGTAAAACTAAAGCGTAGCTGTGCGCTTTCATTCGAACATGCAGCTTTTTACGCTTGACGACTTCGCGCCGCTTGAAATCAAGCGCGGAGAAGAAATTAGATAGACGGTGGAGGGGCGCCACGGAGACGCTTGAAAAAGGCGTCAAGGTACGCTTCGGTTCTGCGGCTCTGGGCTCTGCTGGTCAGTGTTGTGGCAGTCTCCCAATGAGCGATTCCTCATACGAAGTCGGAGAGTGAGTCGCGTGCGTAGTTTAGAGGTGCCAACACAGATGGCGTATGCGTGCACTGGGCCCTGCAAGAGGGCGCCGGGCAGCGGCGTGCTGACGAATGGCATTCCCGTGTCGGGTGGCGCGCCGGGCGACGCTGCGCAGCACAGTAAGCGTCAGCGTGTCAGTGCGTCTTGGAAAAACCTTCGTCTGTAAGATAAAGGCGAACCAATCGCCCTGAGTTCAACGGTGAAAATCCAACAAAACGCTGGCCTGTTATTTAAATTCAAAATCCCTCTCATAGAATGGAACGAATTTGAGTCCGAGGACCAAAAGCTGCTAGGGCTACGCACGATTTCCCCTTTCTCTACATTTTCCCGGGAACCCGGAAAGGTTTTAAGGGTTAAAAAGGAAAGGGGGCATGGCGGCGCGCCCGGGCCCATCCCTGTCTGGCAAGGGGTAAGAAAACCCAACCCCGGGGTGTGGCCGTGGCCCCGGCTCCCCCCCCGTGGAAAGGGGGGCGCCCCCGGGCCTTAAAAACCCCCCGTTAAATCGGTTCGGGTTTTTTCCCTGAAAGGGGTGGGGGATTCCGAACTGCCAAAGGAAGGGGGTTTTTTCGTTTCTTCCCCCAAGGGGTTTAATTCCTTGCATAGGGGGCGCCCATTACTTAGGTTACGCACGTACTTTCGTGTGTGTGTGTGTGAGAGAGAGAGAGAGAGTGAGTGCGTGCGTGCGAAAGAGAGAGAGAGAGAGAAAAAAAAGAAGGGGGTTAGTATCTGGCCTGCGTAACGCGGTACACAGGGGACGGGGGTCCGAGCCTGCGTAACTTTTCCGCATCACTTCAATTATGAGTATATCTCAGAAGTACCAATATTTAAGGTTGGAAATAATGTTTCCATGAGTGAATTTTCCGTAACGTTGCGCTGTGGAAGGGGTGGGTAGTGGTCTAGCATAACACCTCGTTACGTGGACTGGGGGAAAGGGGAGGGGTGGTGTACTGTCGAATGCATTTCTGTGTCAGCAGCGACAATACTTAGCACTTCGTTCTTAAAGTAGTCCATCAGCTAGGGTTTCCCGCCAAAAAAAAATAAAATTAAAATTTGTCGTAATGCTCTGCGCTTTGCATGAAGTTGCAGATAAAGCTTAAACTCTATTTTAAGTTATATGCAATTTTGATGTTAACCTACAGGGTTTTGACCAATTCAACCATAAAAACGGCCAAAGTCGCGTTTTGACCCAAAAGAGGGCATTTTTTGGACATTCTTTGTTCTGTAGTTCTCACCTATGGACAGGAACGCCCGTTTTTCTGGAAGGATTTTGATTCTATGTAGTGTTTTTTATCTAACTATAGTTTTTCATTGCCTTCTTATTACTCCTTATGTGCCAAAAGTAAACGTTAGCATGTTTTTTAGTCCCATTCCCCATAAGACCCATGTTAAAAATCCCAACTTTGACTGCATTTATCTCAGAAACGAGTTCAGGAAGGAGCATTTTGTTTGGTAACACTGACTTCAGCGCATGATTTTCTATCGATGTTGATCAAATGGGGAACTTTTTGAATACTTTTTTTGTAACTGATGTATTACTTTAAATACTTCTAAACTTTTTTTGTATTTCATTTGAAAGACAAACGGTAATTATGAATTAGTAATTGCTAAGTAATAATACTAAGGAAAAATACTTAGTATTATGGTTACCTTCAGAAATGCGTCTGCAAATGAGACGTAGTTAGGAAAAGGCTGAGAGTGTGGAAAGCCACGCTTGATTTCTACCGTTTTAAATTGAACGGAGGGTATCACTGCGCTCTGAATTTCACCCCTGCAGATACGGCAAAAATCAGCCGTTCTAAGTTGACGTTTCATTGAGGGACTACCGATTCCGCGAATCCTTGCAGCAGCCCAGCTCGGATTGCTGCGGCAGCCGCTGCCTGTGTGCAATAATGTCGTATTTGCCGACCGCCGGAGAACATGTGAGATCCCGGGCCGAGCCCCGCACCGCTCCGTGCGTGCGTTGAATGTGCCGACCAGAATCTGCCGCCTCAGTGCGCGCGGCACAGTGTACAGGAAAGCGGATACGGGCCGACGTTGGCGAGCAGAAGGGAAAATATTTTCTTCGCCGGAAGTTTGAAGGCAGAGGTAGGGTTCTGTAGGGCAATGGAGGATTGTCGGCGAGAAAGGACTCTTCGTCACCCTATTTTACTGAGTAGGGTTTTTTAGCTATGCAATGAATGTAGCACACGTTTTTGGAATTCACGAATTCGTTGTAAACTAAGCATGAAAGTGTGCATTGATGTGCAGCATCTATTGCGTTGCTGCACGCGATTCCATGCATAACACGCGTATGCTCAATTGCCGTCGGTCAAAACTATGCACGATTAATCTCAGCAGTAGTCTGGTATGATATTTGGCACCTGTTTCCAGTTTATGCGCTTTCGACCCCCTCCCACCTTTAAAATGTGGCATTTCGTTGACCTTGACCCCTGCACCCCCTCGCACAACGTAACGTACGAATAATTTCTTACCTGGACGCGATTTTACTTTGAATTACTGGTATTATTTTAATATTCTCATGTTTTACATGTTCCCGTCCCCTTTTTGTACCATTGCGGTACGCAGAAGTCATTAAGTCCAGCCAATCCACTTTTAGAGTTTTTTTCTTCACTGTAAAAAATGTTCGGAAGTTTACCATGCAGTGCACTGTCAGAAAATTCCGAAAAAAAATGGAAAAATCATGGAGATTTTCCGAAACTCCTGCATGGAGCTCTCCATAAATGCAAATTCTGCGAAATTCTGGGCTTTCTCCGAAAAATTTCGGAATTTTGAACAAAAATGCATGCTTCACTATCACAAAAACACGAAAAAAGGGTTTGCAACCAGTTAAAATTTGAGGGAAAGGTGAACCCCTACTTCTTGAGCTCAGTTTTCATAATATTAAGGGAAAGCTACAGGATATAAGGCAAATGAGCTCGAATGAGACTGTCCCTTCTTTGACCATTTCAAACTAAAAAATGCTTCAGCAAAGTCCTCTTTAATATGTCTGAGAAAAGAATTGCATTTTACCTCCCATCTGGACCCAAGGAATGCTCTGAAGAACATCTGTTTAAGCCCTGAGAAAATCTCTCCGAAAAAAAATGGAAAATGAATGGAGTCTCCATGAACGTGATTATAGGGTTTTTCTCCATAAAATTTCGGAGCTAATTTCTAACAGTGTGGTCTAGGAAAATTCCTATACATGTATAGGAATTACTGAAATCCCGATACATGTATAGGAATATTCCGATTTGTATAGGTTTTTTGCTATATGGGCTCAAAATGTACAGGAATATTCCTATACACGTATCGGAATTTGAGTAAGTCCTATACATGTATAGGATTTTACGGTCCGTGTATAGGAATATGGCCAACTGAAAAAAAATAATTTGTCATCAACCTTCACTGTGCCAAAAAGGTACGGAAAATTCTGTTAATTTTTTTGCCAGGATTCTCCGTAGCCCTCTTATCAATATTCTCCGTAGGCTCTTACAGTATTCTCCGTAGGGCCGCACAGTATTCTCTGTAAATCCGCACAGTCTTCTCCGTAGGACCTCGAAGACTGTATAGTCCTACGGAGATCACTGTGCGGTCCTACGGAGAATACTGTGCGGTCCTACAGAAAATACTGTAAGAGCCTACGGAGAATATTGATAAGGGGCCTACGGAGAATTACCACAAGCTGTTTACAGAATTTTCCGTAGCTTTTTGCCACAGTGTTATTAACAGCGATTCCAATTGTTGTATTTTGTTAAAACACTGGTAATCAATACGATTATGTGTTAACAACGTACAAAATTCACAAAAGCTGCTCGTTTGCCCGCTGACCGGATTATCCGCTAGGTGGCGCTAGTGTCGTTTTGACGGACTTACTTCTCGGTGTACGCTGCGGCTAGGAATTAGGTTGGTTCAGGGGGCTCTCGACCCATCATGTTGTAAGAAAGTTGAAGTCCTTTCAATTCATGCATCATTTTTGCTGTGGCGCTCTTGGGTGTTCAATAAGGATCACTAATGATCCAGACTCGATGGTCTATTATGGCGGGAAAGGCAGCCGTTGTCTTGAACAACGGACAGTTCATCCGGTTCAGCCTGCCTAGTTTGCATATTTTGGCCGAAATCCTATACATGGCATCGCATTGCGGATTCGATGTATAGGAAAAATCCAGACAACGGATGGGAGAACGCCTATTACATGTATAGCCTTAATGCCGTACCATGTATAGCGAATTACCATACGTGCATGGTAAAATTTCTATACGTGATATGAATAGCTTCATATACATGAAGGATTGAATATGTTTTTGGGTCCGACAAGGAGAACCTATCTGGACGGCATCCTATTTTTTTCGAATTTATTGGAAAAGGTCCCCAGAATACTGTATATATCAAATGAAGATTCCTGAGAATTAAATTATCGTGATTACGTAAAGACTAAAACATGAAATTTGCAATCCAGTATGTTCATTTTTCCAACGTTTCAAAATGTGCCACTCCAATTAATTCTTTCAAATTAAATGAACGATATGTGTGTAACTGACAAAATTACAAAACTCATCTAAAGTCCATGGTATCGCAGGTGGCCATGTCGATCTGTCGAATTTTCAAGTCGCTGATGCAGGAAATTAGATGCCGTGCAATTCGAAAATCCCAATGCTATGTTGTAAGAATTTTGGGGAAGTCCTTTGAATCTGTCAGTATAATTTCGTGGCGATAAGACTCAATAAATTAAGTTTCGGCGTTTGGAAAATTTCTCGCGTCTGCGCATTCGAAAATCGCGCAGGGTGGAAAGCGAGTAGTCGTGTTTGAAACACCGGCCATGTTGCAAGTTGGACTTCGCTGCTTTTAAAGGCCTTCCCTGTATGGTCCTAATTCTGTACCACACGGCGGTCGGTTTGCAAATTAAAACCGGGAGGGTGGTTTAGAACCGGATGATTTCGACGACAGAGACTGTAATCGCGAGATCCGATATTGAGATGGTCATTGTTAACTGAATCAGTTGGGATGTAAAAATACCGGTAGGATCAAATTATAATCGGTAAAATACGTAATAATCGTTTAGACGAGTATTCAATTTGATTTCAACAAGCTTCACCGTGCAATGAAAGGCATTGGAATTTTTTTTACAGTGTTTATTTTCTTTCCAGATGAAGTAATTTCCGCTCGGGTTGCGCTGCTCACTTCTATTTTGGTCAAGTCTTTACGTTAGAGGTGTGTATTTCAAAGTAGTTCCACTCCCCAGATACTGAGTGAATACAGTGAATGAGTGAATACAGTGAATAGTAGATACTGAGAAACCTGCTTTTGCGCAGATCCTTTTGCGGCATGGCACTAAAGTGTTCAGCTTGCGCTGAGACTCTTTCATCGTTGAAGCTCGCGGAACATCGTCGCACCAACGCGAGAAGCCCATTGAAGTGCGATGGCTGCTGTAAAAAGTCGAGTGTTGCACTACACCCCAAAAGGCGAACGGGGACCTTTCAAGGTGAAAAGCTTTTCGAGTGTTCAGTTTGTCTTGGAAAGTTCAGCCAGGGATATGAGCTCAAACGTCACATGAACATCCATGGGGAAAAGGGTTACGAATGCATGGTCTGCAATAAGAAGTTCAATCGTAGAGGTGCTCTCACACCTCATCTTAGAACACACACGGGAGAGACGCCTTTCCAGTGTACGATTTGTAACAAACAGTTCAAGGTCAATTCAAATTTAAAAGCGCATCTTCGAACCCATACAAAAGAGAAGCTCTTTGAATGCATGGTGTGCAATAAGAGTTTCGGTCGCGGTAGTAGTCTCAAAATTCACATCAGAACCCACACGGGGGAAAGGGATTTTCAGTGCACTGTTTGCCTGAAGGTTTTCAGTCGAGGAGACGTTCTCAGAAATCACCTTAAAGTCCACACAGGAGAGAAGCCCTTTGGGTGCACAGTTTGTTATAAACATTTCAGTGAGGAGACTTCTCTTAAGAGTCATCTAAGATATCACACAAGGGAGATGCCTTACGAGTGCACTCTGTGCAACAAGAAATTCAGTCAAAGAGCCAACCTCAAGGTACATCTCAGCGATCACACTGAGGAGCAGCCTTTCGACTGCGCGGTTTGCAACAAAAAGTTTAGATTAGGAAGCTATCTCAAAGCTCATCTTAAATCCCACATGAAACAGAATTCTGCTCCGTGTGGAGAAACCCTCTGAGGGTGCAGTCAACAAAATGTGAAGCGAGAGATGACATGTGAAAGTAAATCTTAAGAATGTTCGTAAAGGTGCCGCGTGTGGCTTGCAATCAGTCGTTCAAGCTGTCTCAAAATTCAATGTCTTACGAACTCAGCCTCTTTGAGTATGACTTCTATGCGTTCTAGCAGACTTGTTTGACTTGATCGATCCGTTGCTGTCTTCTATATCTTTCCAAATTATCTTTTTTGTTTTGTTAATTGTACAGTGTTGATGCTCGAACATTGATGTTTAGTTATGTGACATTTGGTGAATGATATATTTTTCGGTGTTGGTGTGCCGGTAACTGTATTTAATTACGAAGTTGAGACTTACTTATCTCTTTATTTCTATAAACCTTATTAGTTATAGAATTGCGGATCAATTGCACAATAAACGATGAAATTAATATGATCCCTGTTCGTATTTTTCTTTTCACTTATTTATTCTGCTCTCCGAGCGAGGAATCCATTGGTGGAGTCTCATTCAGCGACTCTGGAGCTCGAAAACGCGTCCAGAATTTTGGCCGCCTCTACCGGCCTTCTGGCCCACTGTGTGTCGTGGAGGCCCTTTGCAGGTGTGCCTGTGTTCTGTTTGTGTGTGTGTGTCCCTGTGCGTTCGGCTGCGCGTATCGCGTGCGGCTGGTCGCGTGGCGGCCACAGGTTGGCGCGTTGCCGCCCTTGACGTCCGTTTGATGGCCCGGCGTGAGTCGGCGTGACCCTGCAAATACATCAGGCCCGTCCCACCGCCGCAAGGGACCCCCCCCCCCCCCCGGCCACCTTTCCCCTTACGCGCCCTTGCCGGTCCGGGCACTCGTTGCCCGGCCCAATTTGCCCGCTTCGCCCTGCAGTGCCAGCGAGCACGGTAGCTGGAGAAGGGCAAGTTCCGAGCACAGCGTTCCGAATCACTGTGAGAAAAATGTACGGTATTCGCCGTTAATTTATTAACAGGATTTGCCGTACTTAATAGTACGGTGTTTACCGTACCTGGAAGTACAGCGTTTACCGTACCCTTAGAGGTACGGTGTTTACCGTACTTGGAAGTACGGCGATTCCCGTAGTTTGTACAAACACGGTAAAAGTGCCGCCTTGAAATCCAAGGGGATGTCTTGTTTATTTCCAAGGGGTTTGAGTGAATTTTCAAAGTGGTCCAAATCAAGATCTTATAGAAATGGATTCGTCTCGATAAGACAAACAAAAAATGTCAACACATCTCATAGGTTTGGATGGAAAATGACAACGTTATTAAGCTTCAAAAGTTCCTTAAAGGTCATTTTTTGAACATATTTTTAAGTTTGTAGGTGAATAGTTTTTTCATTTTCCATGCAAACATATGACATGCCATGACATTTTTTGTTTGTCTTGACGAGACGAATCCCTTTCTGTAAGAAGATCTTGATTTGGACCACTTTGAACACTTGATTTGGACCACTTTGAAAATTCACTTAAACCCCGTAGAAATATAACAAGACATTCCCTTGGATTTCAAAGCGGCACTTTTGACGGGAAGTTGTAAAGATCTCACGTTGAATTCAATTCCAAAGAGTTTGAGCACATTTTGAAAATCGTCTAAATTGACTTTGCTGTCAAAAAATGAATGCCTATTGACAAGTGCATTGTACAAATTAAGGTGATCGCCGTACTTCCAGGTACAGTAAACGCTGTACTTCTAGGTACGGCAAACACCGTACTTCAATGGGTACGGCAAACGCTGTACTTCTAGGTACCGTAAACACCGTACTTTTAAGTACGGCGAATCCTGTTAATAAATTAACGGCGAATACCGTACATTTTTCTCACAGTGAAGGGAACAGCCACTCGCGTGTCCGCTCTCATTGGTGGACGCACGGTAGAAATTTGTTGTCACTTTACCACGAAATAGTGAATGACGTTTGCACCGCTTCCAAGTGATGGCAATAGCAATTTCATCGCAAGTCGATGAGATTTTCATCGAAGCTCCTTTATGAAACGCATGGATGGGACTGTCATCAAGTGGTTTTATGACGTTCTTGTATCGAAATTTAGCCTTGAAATTTTCATGATGTGACAATCGAAACCTCCCCCTCCCTCCCCTGTCAGATTCTCTAAGCGCCCCGATGTAAGGCAACTCGTACACGTGCCCCTTGTAGGCTGTCAGGCATAATATACACAATCCCCCTTCCCCTCCCCCACGGCAGCCCTTTAAACGGACTACTTGGCCGCGGAATGCTAACAGCACGGTCTATTTAAGGCCAGAAGCTAATCGATCAACTAGTATTGACACGGGCCCGAATTCACCCACAGGCTGGGGCCCACTTGCCAACTTGCCGCTTGAACAGGCGCTTCATGAAACAGCAAAGCCACCGACAGATCGATATCCGAGACATCACCAGCCAGCGGGACTTCGGTGGTGAAACTAAAGCGTAACATGGCGCCCTTCGTGGAAGCGTATGTGCAGTCCGTACGCGCTTCTTGAAGCGTCCTTATTCATTGTTTATGGGCTTTTATTGTGCACGTGGACAAGCAAGGGAAGGCCACAAACATCGATTGTGTATGCTGTACTAGTAGTTTTACAACTACTGTCATTCTGGTGCATTTTTAAGCAATGCACAATTTACGATGTATGAAGTTGGGACAATGTTTTCTCATGGTTCCTTATTTATAGGACAGCACCTAATTCATGTACTTACAAAGTTGTACGCATTTGAAGGCGTCAATACCTTCTGTTCGAAAAATCCCTAAGCATTTAGCGTGTAATCGAAAACTTTCTGCTATTTCTGTATAACGGTAAGGCAGCTTTAGGCCGATGATAGGGTTCCATGTTAACGGAAACAGTGTGAGTGTGTGTGCGTGAGAGAGAGAGAGAGAGATAGAGAGGGGGGGGATGAAGCCTTGGACGGAGGTGCGGAGGGAACGGCGGAAGCGACACTACGGTGTATGTGGAGGGAAGGAAGCAAGGGGGCCTGATGGGTCAGCCCGGTTTGGCTTTCTGACGCCCGAGTTTTCTCGCCACAAACTTGGACACGAAACAAGACTTACGGCACAAGGGATGTGCAAGACCGGAGCGGGGGCCGCGCAGCGCAGAGACGCGGGGGCGGGGCAGCGCGGTGAGGCGGTCAGGGGACCCAGAAAAAGGATTTGAGGAAAGCGGGTGTTGAATGAGGCTGGAAAGCCCCAGAGCGTTTAAGAGGGAAGTAAAAGAGTGTTCTCGTGTAAACGAGCGGGGTGTGTGGAAAACTGCCGTTACGCTGAACGTATTACAACTGTGAAAAAGTCGTAAAACGACTCTATTCCGCGGAGGTGGGGGCTCGTCAAAAAGTGCGAACGACTCTGCAGGATTCCTCTTATCGGAGTCTCTGGGGTCCGTCTTTGCAACTTGACGGGGATCTGACACTTAGGTAATTAGGTCAGACATTTTTATTGAGGGAGCTCGTTTTTATTTTTGTTCTTGACTAGCTGGTCTCATTTTTCGCGAGCAAACGAAAACATTCATCTGAGGCCTGCAACACCACTCCAACTACTCTGAGAAAATTTTGCTCGTCACTTTATGACAGTCTCCAGGCTAATTTCCCTTACAAAAAATTCATCAGACGTTGTTGTCACGCCAAGCAATAATTAGGGGAGCGTTGTTAAAACTTTCTTCGATTTGTGGTGAAATTGTGATGATTTTCAAGTGATAAAAATATCATCCACGAATTCTTTAACAAGTGGACAAGCAGTTTCCGCTGTGTCGCTGAGCTGTGCCTCGTGTAGCAGATTTTACGCTGGAGGGAACGAATGTTTTTATTTGGCTGCAAGTCACTCGAGCAGTGAAAAGGCTTGCTGAAAGATAAAGCAGGAGCCTCGTGTAAAACGAATGCGGCGCGAAAGTCAGTGCCGTGTGGGCTGCGTTTTGAGGGCGGGGTCGCTTTAAGCGGCCTAACCCAAAAAAGGGGGAGGGATTAACTTGGGTCTCCTTGCCGGCCTTGCAGGCCTCGCCGGCCGTGGGAGGTCGCGCGGAACCGCGCAAACATCCCCGCTTTTATCATGACATTCAGAAACTAGGTCTCTTCCCAGCAATTACCCAGCGTGGCCGCACTGCGAGACGGCATGGAGAGTTCGGGGCCTCGCAGCCTCCTCCAGTGTGCACTGTGGCGAAAAGCTACGGAAATTTTTGTGAACTGCTTGTGGTGATTCTCCGTAGCCCCCTTATCAATATTCTCCGTAGGACCGTACAGTCATCTCTGTAGGACCTTACAGTGTTCTCCGTAGGACTATACAGTCTTCCAGGTCCTACGGAGATGGCTGTGCGGTCCTACGGAGAACACTGTACGGCCCTACAGAGAATACTGTAAGAGCCCACGGAGAATACTGGGGCTACGGAGAATCCTGCCAAAAAATTAACAGAATTTTCCGTACCTTTTTGCCACAGTGTGCCGTCCCGGAGTCCTGGCTCGGCTGCACCAGTCCTTGAAAACGCGCTCGCGTCTGTGATGGGTCAGTGGGGAAGCCTCAATCAAAATGGTCCCATTTTAACTGTTATCTAGAGGTTAAGTTTTGACCATCGACGTTGTATTTAGTATTTGCTGTGCGGTACAGGGGGTGGACAGAGTCAATATCTACGTGCGAGTTCAGTACGAAGTCTTCGTCTCACGTCGTTTTGAGTATGGCTAATTTTCGAGCAAATTCGTCCTTATTATCGCTGAATTTTAGCGATCCTGCATACAGATCGGTTCGGAAAATCGCGCGTTTTTATTGTGGGAGGTGCTCGTGAACCAAACATTAACTGTAAAGAACTCCCACGCTTAAAACTGTGCGGAGGGGTTTGGGCGTGTGTAAGGTAGAAACTATTTAGTTTGTTCCACAAAGCGTTTTCTTTGTGGAGCTTATGTATGTACAAAATACTTTGTTGCGAGATACTACTTTTCTTTTCAAGGCCTTAAACGGTTCATAAGGTTTTTAAGAGTGCCGGCCATTCGAGATGCGTTCTTCGGTAACGATCAGTGAATGAGGCGGAATAAGGGTTCAGACTTGGGGTAGGTTCCATATGAAAACCCAGGCTGCGCTCTCGGATAGACGGATCGGATCCGTGAGGGACAAGGCTCCTTTGCCAGATGCGCCTGACTTACCCCGTTAGTGGATACGCTCTGCCAGGTGGACACACGTCATTCTGAAAGGCACTGAGATGGACCGATTATAATGGCGCGGCAGGAGGAGCGTGGTAGGGCTTAGTTGACCTCGGTTCGCCCTCCTGGACACGTAACGAGGCTTCTCAGAGAACACAACAACAACAAGCAGTTGCGTGAGCAGGGCTCAATGACACTGTTTCCCAGAACGTGGCGAAAAAAAATGTTGTGGTTCTGTGCCTTTCTTGTACGGCCTCTTGGCGGTCAGCTTGGGGCGTCCCCCCTATCTCCGACCTCTGCGAGGCCCTCACACCAAACGTTGTGAGCAAAT